AACTGAGCTTGGCAGTTAACTGTCAATAGCCATCTAATTGGTGCATTCTCCATGGCAGTACCTTTACCGAATAGTGTTCACTTGCTAGCCAGCTAGCAGTCTCCTCTCATACACTATTAAAAGTTATTTTTCATTTCATGTAGATTGAAGTAATGAGTGGTTGGTGCAAGCCTTCAACAAAATGTGCCCTTTTTTTCAGCAACACTCAAAAGTCCTGTACTTTGAAATGACTTAATAATTGTTTCCTTGTTCTTTTTTTCATATTTGGCATCACTTTATCAATTGCGTTATTAAATGCTACTTCCCATTTCTTCATATCTTTTTTGCGCCAGCTAACTGGAGTTGGAAACACAACATGTTCCCTTTGTGAGAAACAATGGACACCATTGTGGAAACATGAGAGAATTAAGAAGCAGATCAAATCATTGCCACAGTGACGTGCAATCCTCCAGAGAAAGTTGGGAAAATATAATGCTATTTCTGTAATTTGCACTGTAGAGGAGAATGAGTTGGCATCATGTGTCTGGTGAAGATAGGCACAAGGTCATTTAAAACTCCCATGGTTTGCAAGCAACACCAGGTCTGGTCCTACAGCAATCAAAGCTCTGGAATTAAAGGCAAAGGAGTTGATGCCATGGCAGAGGCTGCTATAATTCGACATTGATTTGTGTAAAATAGTTTATGGAGAGGGGACATCAGCCAATGAAAGGTGATCGGGCCACTGGAGATATCCCGACTGTAAAATCACCCAGAGTATGGTGCTAAATTGTATAATGACTTACTAATTAGAGGGTGGCAGATATTAAATGAAGACCAAGAGCCACTTAGTTTAAATGAATTGAGACAGTCTCGATCCTCAAAGTCATGAGTGGATCTTGTTTTGACTACCTGCACCCCCATCACATTGACATTTAGCATCTCTGGTGTGTTAAACTTATCCCAAAAACAAGTTCAGATTGCCATTTGAGCATCGAAGACGTCAATGTAACACACTGATGCATTCCCAGCATGATATCCTCATTCTTAACTGAACACTTCTAGTTTTAATGACAGAAGTTTCCAGTCCAGGAGGTGGTGAGTCTGGAGGAGAGAAGGAAAATTATTTTGTGGACAGCCATGAACTCATTGTATTTCCACTTCTGTTCAGATTAAATCCTGGATGGGGAAGGCCAGAAGTTGACCTGCTTACAATTGAGGTCCTTACGTGGCTCGAGACTTGATGAATCAGTGCTGTCGGTGTGGCAGTTAGAGGCTGTGTCCCTCTGTCTGCATTGATTTGCGTACGATCGAGTGACTGGGCCTAAGACAGGTGTGTGATTGCTGTGAGTTACAATCCTGCTATTTCTTCTGATCCCCAGGGAGCCCTCTTCACCCTGCAAGAAGCACCTACCACAAGCTGCTTCATGGTCAGACCCGACATCCCTTGGAGTCCTGGAGAATTGTACTGGCAGCAGTCAGGGCCTTCTCCATGATGCTGCCGAGTGGCACATCTGCCAGTCTCTGATTGATTGATGGGTCTTGGTAGGGCAGATTTTCTTAATTGGGGAATCATAGTGGAAAACTGTCTCAGTCACCAATTAGGTTCTCAGTTCTGAGGAAGGGTCACTGGACCCAAAACGTTAACTCTGTTTTCTCCTCCACAGATGCTGCCAGACCTGCTGAGCTTTTCCAGCAACTTTGTTTTTGTTCCTGATTTACAGCATCCGCAGTTCTTTTGGTTTTTACTGGAAGATCTAGTAGGTTTTAAGAGCCTAACAGGTCTAGGCCTTCTTCCACAAATTTCTCTCACTTTTTAGACTTAGTTCAAAGATTCTTTTATGACTACCTTAATTACATTTCCCTTGGTTTATATCACCCTTGCGGATTTTTCATTTAAAACCCTATCTATGCATTGAGCATTTAAGAGTTAGTCATAGCGAGTATTGGATGAAGTATCCTTTCTGATCTCAAAGTACTTAACTAGAAGTTTGAAAAAAGGCAGTAGCTCCTTATAAACATGTCTCGCATTTCTATTTTTCATGCATTGATTATGTTCCTACGAGGGCACTGCCAGTTGATGCTGAACAGTGTTTTGTTCCTTGGAGACTGTCCGAGGCTGTTCAAACCCAATTATAAAGGCCCCCTGCTGCCTGGATGGGGAGAAAACCTCCAGCTGAATTGTCAGGGGCTGCAAAGCGAGCCAAGTTCCCAAAGATGAATGGAGAGTGGAATAATTTACACGCTGATCCAGCCACGAACCCGAGTTCCTTTCCAAACCACTGCATCAATTCAACAATCGATTCCTTCAATCTCCTACCAGAGAATTAGAGAACTCCACAATACCATCCTTCCTGATGAGTTTTCTCTTGCTTTCCTCCACTGAAAAGCTGTGAAACTCTTTAGAGGCGAGGAGACAGTCAGTGACCAGTCTCGATTCTATTTTATGTGAATTAACTCATTATGAATTATTGTGACTTCCAGACCAAAGGGGCCAGCTATAGATGAGACAAGTGTGTCCTTTGAATCCTGAAACACAGAATTTGCACTTGGGCAATTGATAAAAGAGTCACTCAACACGTTGTTTGTCCTGGAGATGTTATTAAAACATATCAAAATATCAAGGACGCCAAGGACTATGAAGGTAACATCCAGGTTGTTAGGAGCTGAAAACTCACCCATGATGGGACTAAAACATGACAAAGTATTGATTTGTAGTTGTATAGTGCCTTGCACAGGCTTAAGATGATCTAAAGCACTTTACAGACAATGAAGTAGTTATAGGATTTTGACGTAGTTACCAACTGGTATTTTCTATGAGATAACCCCCGTATTCTCATAAGATTTCGCTCTTGGACTTATCAATTGCATGTCTCAAAGGAGAAAGATGAATAAGTCCTCAGGCACATTTATATGGCTGCACTTTTGGGAAGATGCGAACAAGTGCATATTAAATGTCATGGCTCCAGAGAATTCATAGAATGCTTACAGTGTGGTAGCAGGCCACTCAGCCCATTGATTCCACATAGGCCCTCTGAAGACCTTCCCACCCAGACCCACCCCGTACCCTATCCCCGTAAGCCTGCATTTCCCATTTCTAACCCACCTAACCTGCACACTAGGAGCAATTTTTGGACTGTGGGAGGAAAACCAAAGCACTCTGGGGGAAACCCATGCAGACACAGGGAGAACATCCAAACTCAACACAAACAGAACCAAGGCTGGGATCAAGTCCAGGCCCCTGGCGCTGTGAGGCAGCAGTGCTAGCCACCAAGCCACTGTCCCACTTTGTCAGTTATATAAAATTTGTACCAGGTCAACAGCTATTATGTCGGAACATTACACTCACTTAAATCATTAGGAGGGATCGGCCTGTGTGAGATCAGGGAAGAAAGCTGCACAGGGAGAGCTCAGAGAATGAAATAATCTCTTCACTGATCCTATTTAAATACAGACGATTGTAAAATAGCAGATGAACTCACACCTACCCTGATACTCTTATCCCAAAAGTATAGCTTGAACTGGTCGGTGGACAAAATGGGTCATCTATTCTCTTTAATAGTTTATTATATCATTGATAAATGTATAAACATCAGTGACCAGCTCCCCTTTAAAGTTAAATCAGAACTGTCAAGCGTCAATACCCTATGCCTTTCCTTAAAGCAGCATCATTCTCAGAAATGGCTGGGAACTCAGTGGTGTGCTTTCTCTCTTGTTCCCATCAGCTGATACCCCTACTAGATGGGAAACCACACTTCTTAAAAATTTCCAAAATCACAGCTATGATAAATATTAGAACATGGAGGCAGTTTCATTGGGGAAAATCCTGGTTGTATCAGGTCAACTTCCCTTTAATCAATAAAGCTCTCAATAAGGGGAGAATAGCCACAAGGGTCGTGAGGGACATTCTTGTGCAATGACTCCAAGTTTGTAGATATATTTACAATCGTCCAGTTTGTAGATGCTTACTTATTGTGTAATCAGCTGATCCTTGAATGGTGCATTGAGAAAGGTCACACAGTGTGTACATGTCAGGCATTCCTTGTCCCATGGAATGTTAGGAAGCAAAGTTTGGACAATTTTTGACAAATATTTATCACAACCAGCTTTTTCTCTTAAATATTGGCTTCTTTTATGAAGGATGTGTTCTTCTCGAAGGACTGGCTAGAGCAGCATTAGGTACACAGTTGAGTGAATCAAAGATCATGTTTTTGCTTAAGAGGAGAAGGAAAGCTGACGTTTCGGGTCTGGACCCTTCTTCAGAAACAGGTCCACACCCGAAATGTCAGCTGTCCTGCTCCTCTGATGCTGTTTGGCCTGTTGTGTTCATCCAGCTCTACACTTTGTTATCTCAGACTCCAGCATCGGCAGTTCCTACTATCTCATGTTTTTGCTTGATGGTTCCTCCACTCATTCTATCTGCTGGGAGACAATGCTGAACAAAAGTTCTTAGAACATGTTACTGGCTTACTTCACAATGTGAAAGCACATGTTATCGTGTGGAATACAGTGCACGAGATGGATGTGGTCAGTATATAACAGCTGGCAGCCATGGTGCTAGCTTTACAAATGAATTTCAATGAAGTCACCCTGTTGCACATATCATAGAACAACGTGACTGATTGCCATGATACCATCTTGCAAAACGTTGTTATATTTGTAGGCAGAGAACTCCAATTCATCAATGACAAGTTAAATGTTCATTAAAAATGTGAACAATGCATTCAACAACATACTTGTGCAGCAGACATAAACATTCTTTTTCCAAGTTTAGTGCCAAAAATAACCCACGTATTTTAAGGGTTGCCTTCAATGTTATAGCCAGGTGATGTGGCACAGCAATGTGCTGTTATAATAACGCTGAGTGAATATTACAGATTTCATTATAGCAACTGATTTTAAGGTGAATCTGGTTGTATCCAGTTTCACTTAGCAATGAATCTAACTTCAGACTGAGTTGTCATACAGAGTTCAGATGTATAATTATACAGGCAAGGGATCACAGCACAGTGGGAAAGACTCACCAGCATCTCCGTCTCCACATTTCATAAAGTGCGATTAATCCTAAACTCTGTAGTTTACATTTTGTTCTCACTAGATTGGATGCTCCCATTTCTTCTGCACTTGCCAACTTTAATCTACTTCCTATCTTCCATCGTATTAATCATAAAATCCTTGTCCTCAGTTACAATTTTTCAAGTTTCACCAGCCCCTACTTTGAATGATTTCCAAACATATCGGGGTCCACACCCTCCCGGAGTTCATTCTGCTCACTCATCCTTCTCCACGTCCACCCAATCGTCAATTTTCCAGTTATTGCCCGTCAGTCCCTGTTCCTAAAACAACTCCCTTTGCTGATTCTCTTATCCCCTTCATAAAATGTCATCAAAACCCCTCCCTTTGAAGAAACCTTTGCTTTTCAAACCAAAACAGAAATTATTGAAAACATTTCCTTCCTTTTACTCAGAGCAACTTTAATTCTTGTGTGAACTTCTTTCGCCTTTTTTCTGAACCCTTTTGTTACACTTTACAGTGTCCAACCCAGTGTTTATTTTTTTAAGGAATTCCTTCATAACATTTTAATGCTGCGGCTACCCTGATAGTGACTCTGTTGATAAATGACAAATCCTTCCGCACAATCTCTGTTTAAAATGCTCAGAGACAGGAACAGTCATTGACTGCCTCTGACTCATCCCATTATTTATGCATTGGTTTTGTTTTATTCATCAATGTGATCAAAGCATCACTGTCATGGCCAGTATTTATTGCCCATCTCTAATTGCCCTTGAGGACGTGATGATGAACTGCCTTTTTGAACCGTAGCAGTCCATTTAGTGTAGGTGCACTAACAGTGTTAAAAAGGACTACAGTGAGTGAAAAGTGTAGAAACAGTTCAAAATACCTTTGAGTACAGGAGTTGTTAACCTTGCATCATTATCCTTTTGTTATGTTTTGTAAACTTGAGAGAGAAAGCTGGAAGCATATTATAAGTCTCTTGGATTACCAAAACACAATTCTGTCTTGGCCCTTCCAAATATAACTTCAATCCCCTTATTAATTCTTCAGGAGAAATGGAACCAGCTCATTCTCACATTGGTGTGTAGGATGCTCATCTCGAGGATGAACTTTGCAGATTCTTATCATTCCCGAGTGAATGGTCAATTATTTATTGACTCCTTTGGGCAGAAACTACTGTCCACTGATCTTTGGCCATTAATACTAAAAATACTAGTAGCATGCTGACCTTCATAGTGAGAGCATTTGAGTACAGGAGCAGGGATATCTTGCTATAGTTATACAGGGTCTTGGTAAGGTCACACATTGAATTTTGTGTGCAGTTTCGGTCTCCTTGTCTGATGAAGCACATTCTTGCCAATGAGGGAGTCCAGCGAAGGTTCACCAGACTGATTCACAGGATGGCAGGACTGACATATGAGGAAAGACTGGATCGCGTGGGCTTGTATTTGCTGAAATTTAGAACAATGAGGGGCAGGATCTCATAGAAATATATTAAATCCTGATGGGACTGGACAGCTAGATGCAGGAAGAATGTTCCCGATGTTGGGGAAGTCCAGAACTAAGGGTCATAGTCAAAGAATAAAGGGTAAGCCATTCAGGACTGAGATCGGGAAGAATTTCCTCACTCAGAGAGTTGTGAATCTCTAGAGTTCTCTATCACAGAGAGCTGTTTGAGCCAGTTCATTTGACATATTCAAGAGGGAGCTGAATGTGACCTTTACAGCTAAAGGGATCAAGGGGTACAGAGAGAAAGTGGGAGTGGGAGACTGAAATTGCATGATCAGCCACGATCAGTTCCAGAGACAGGATGTTCCTGATAGGGTGAGTGAATGCTGGATGACTAGAGAAACTGAGGTTTTGGTTAAGAAAAAGAAGGAAGTATATAGACAGCAGAAATCACGTGATTCCCTAGAAGAGTTTAGAAGCAGTAAGAGTATATTTAAGAGGGAAATCAGGAGAGCAGAAAGCGGACATGAGATAGCTTTGTCAAATAGGGTTAAGGAGAATCCAAAGAGATTCTACAAATACGTTAAGGACAAAAGGGTAACGAGAGAGAGAATAGGGCCCCTTAAAGATCAGCAAGGCTGTCTGTGTGTGTGGAACCGCAGGAGATGGGGGACATACTGAACATTATTTTGCAAGAGTGTTTACTGTGGAGAAGGATATGGAAGACAGAGATGTGGGGAAATACATAGTGACATCTTGAAAATGTCCATGTTACAGAGGAGGTGGTGCTGGAAGTTTTAAAATGCATGAAGGTGGATAAATCCCTAGGACCTGATCAGGTGTACCCTAGAATTCTGTGGGAAGCTAGGGAAGTGATTGCTGGTTCCCTTGCTGAGATATTTGTATCATCGATAGGCACAGGTGAGATGACTGTAGGTTGGCTAACATTGTGCCACTTTTTGGAAAAGGTAGTAATGAAAAGCCAGGGAACTATTGACAGGGAGCCTGATATCGATGGTGGACAAATAGTTGTTTGTCATTATATAAATGATTTGGATGAGAACAAAGGAAACATGGTTAATAAGTTTGTAGGTGACACCAAAACTGGAGGTGTAGTGGAAAGGAAAGAAGGTTACTTCAGAGTACAATGGAATCTTGATCAGATGGGCCAATGGGCTGTGGAGTGGCAGATGGAGTTTAATTTAGAAAAATGTGAGCTGCGGCATTTTGAAAAGGCAAATCAGGGCAGGACTTATACACTTAATGGTAAGGTCCTGGGCAGTGTTGCTGAACAAAGAGACCTTGGAGTGTAGGTTTGTTGTTCCTTGACAGTGGAGTCACAGGTAGATAGGATAGTGAAGAAGACATTTGATATGCTTCCCTTTATTAACCAGTGCATTGAGGTATAGGAATTGGGAGGTCATTTTGCAGCTGTACAGGACATTTGTTAGGCCAGTATTGGAATATTGCGTTCAGTCTGGTCTCCCTGCTATAGGAAGGACATTGTGAAACTTGAAAGGGTTCAGAAAAGATTTACAAGGATGTTGCCACTGTTCGAGGTTTTGAGCTATTGGGAGAAGCTGAATACACTGGGGTTATTTTCCCTGGAGCCTCAGAAGTTGAGGGGTTACCTAACAGAGGTTTATAACATCATGATGGGCTTGGATAGAGTAAATGGACATGGTCCTTTTCCAGGAGTGGGGGAGTCCAAAACTAGAGGGCATGGGTTTAAGGTGAGAGGGAAAAGATTTAAAATGGACCTAAGGGGCAAATTTTTCATGCAGAGGGTGGTGCGTGTATGGAATGAGCTGTCAGAGGAAGCGGGGGAGGCTGGTACAATTACAACATTTAAAAGGCATCTGGATGGGTAAATGAATAGGAAGGGTTTGGAGGGATATGGACCAAATGCTGGCAAATAGTCTAGATTAATTTAGGATATCTGGTTGGCATGGACCGTGCTGTAAAACTCTATGACTCTATGACTATGATTGATGGTGCAGGCTCAAAGGGCCAAACAGCCTCCTCCTACACCCATTTTCTATGTTTCTATGAACTCCTTCCTTCACCTAATTATCAAACTCAACTTTCTAGAAATCCAAACATGATGAGAAGTATTTATGCTGAGTAATGTTTTAAGAGCACGACGTATGTGTTTCCAGCCCCTTTCAGTTCTTCAGAAGTTGTATTGATCTCAGAAGGTTCACTCTGTTTCCCTCTCCACAGGTGCTGCCGGATTTGCTGAGTTGCTCCAGCACTTTCTGTTTTGATTTCAAATTTCCAGCCTCCACAGAATATTCCTTTTATTTAAGATGCTTGTATGTGTGAGAGAGAGTGTGCGCGCATGCATCAAGAGAATGTATGTGTGGCTTGGGGGAGGGGAGGGATGAAATGGTAGAAAACTGCTGGTTATTACTAATCCAAACTAAGCCACATGTTTATGCAATGGGATTTGAGCTTTGAAAGAGAAAGTGTGCACATGACTAGCAAGATTAAGCGAGTTTTTTTTTGTAGTTTTGATAGTTCTTCGAATGCCTTTGTGAGCAAGAGAATCAGGGTGGTCCAACTCTTGAATGTTATGATCCTTGCAGTGCTGTCTCCATCAATGATACCGAATGGAAAATGAATGCTCCTTTTTCAGTAACTTGGCACCAATCCTAATGTCTCAGTTCAGTGACTGATCGTTCACTTAAACCTTGATTCATGGCACCGCATTTCATTCAGTAGCAAGAACAGCTGAGGTCAAGCTAGTACTCAGTGTGCAGTGTCACACTGCCTGTCTCTGAAGTTCAAAATCATGTTTGTTGATTCTCAGATAACTAATGAATTCAACTGTATTCAATACAGCAGTTGCATCTGAAATGTTGAGTCCTCAGGCCATTACAAAGAATTATTCTAACTTTGCCCCAAAAGGGCAAAACATGCTCAACAGGTGGTATGCAGTGACACTGAAATGGGCAGTGGAATATCTCTCTAGTTGGCATTTTTAACTAAAATTGTCATGCGTGCTTTCAAAGGCAATTATGATATTCCTCTGGAAAGTGACTAGAGAAGGTTTTGACTAAAACATGGAGCCGAACAGCAGCTATTTCCAGGGCAATCAGGTCAAGGGTCTGACTCTGCTGCTTCCAGAGGAATGAGATAACTTGGAGAATTTGCCTGGAGGTTTTGGTGATTATAGCTCGTGTTTTCCATGTCCCAGCCACCCTGAATTATTAGGTGTTGGTTAGCACTTTGTTTAAACCTCTGAGTAAAAGAGGCAGTGATGGGCAAGCGCTTCTCTGTCATAGAATCAGAAAAATGAACAGCACAAAATTAGGCCATCCTGCCCATTGTGCCTGTGCTGCCCACTTACCTTCAATCTGCAATCTCTCCCACTGAGTATAGTTTTGTCCCTGTTCACTGTATCAAAACCTCTCATAATGTTGATCACCTTTCCTGAATCTCCCCTTTAACCTTTTCTGCTCCAATGATAACCTCAGTCTCCTTAGTCTCTGCTCAAAACTCAAGTCGCTCATCCCTGGAATTACTCATTTAAAATCTCTATGCCATGCTTTCCAGCCTTTGATATCATTCTTAAAGTGTGGGTGTCTACAGTTGGACATAACACTCCAGATGAGACCAGTAGCCAGTGATATACTCAAGTTTAGCTTTGTTTTCGTTTCTCCTTCCAACACCAAGGCAGCTGATGTGGTATATGGGACATCATGTCGAGCTTTTGCAGGACATTGGTGAGGCCACTTCTGGAGTACTTTGTCCAATTCTGGTCACCCTGTTAGAGGAAGGATTTTATTAAGCTGTAGAGGGTTCAGAAGAGATTTGCCAGGATGTTG